GGCGCACTGATCTTAGGCCAGTCATATCTGCCAAGTCCTCTGCTGTCATCCAGGATACACCCTGCCGCAAGTGGCGGATCTTACTCAAGCCCTTCTCCAAAAAGGTGACTCTCAATGCAGCTGAGAACTGGGACAATGCAGGTAAAACAGGGTTAAAAAACAGCGGTTCTTCAAAAACCCAGCGTGATGGAGCAACGCCCTCCCTCGAAACTGAAAAGAGCTTCCATGCTTGCATTGCTGCTGAGTAAAAAGGAGTTAAGCCTTCCAAGTCCACTGTCCTTAAAACAAGAGAAAAGAGGTGCTTGTCAAGGCCCATGCGTCCAGCAACCCTTAGGAGGGCACAAGCTACATCGGTCCAGCAATGGTGTGTATGATACAGAAGGCGCTGCACAGCCTGCAAACGCAGAACAGCGATTCTGGATCGAATGTCTATCAGGCCCTGTCCTCCTTCCTGCACCGGGAGGTAAAGTACAGGAGCCCTGAGCCAGTGATGTCCATTCCAAAAAAAGTTTACCAGTGCCTTCTGAATGTCATTGACCAGACCATCAGGGGGATTCAGCACAGTAAACTTATGCCAAAGAGCTGATGCAATCAGGTTGTTGGCAATCAAAACTCGGCCCCGATACGATAGCTGGGGTAGCAGGCGAGACCATGTAGACAACCTGGCATGGACCTTCTCTCTTAAACCCTCCCAGTTCTGGATCTGGGCCTGATCAGTGCCTAACCAAACCCCTAAAAACTTCAGACCAAATCTGCCCCACTTAACACCACCTGGAATAGGTGGCATGGAGAGGTTCTCATTATGAACACCACACCATAGCGCTTCTGTTTTGCTCCAGTTCAACTTAGCAGAGGAAGCTCGCTCATAAATGTCTAAGCACTCTTGTAAAGAATGAACATCATGCTCATGACGAATTACCAAAGAAATATCATCGGCGTACGCCGAAAGCTTCACAGAACTTCCTTGAAACTGTAAGCCTGACAGCCTCTTCCTTAGTAAACAAAGGAAAGGCTCTACTGCCAGAGAATACAGCTGACCTGATAAAGGGCACCCCTGCCTGATTCCTCTGCTAACTAGGACTGGAACACTTAAAACCCCTCCTGCCTTAATCATACAGGAGGCCCCAGTGTACAACAGTCTAACCCAGGATAAAAACCTGTCACCAAAACCAAAAGCTTTTAAGGTATCAAATAGGTACTCATGGTCAACCCGATCAAAAGCTTTCTCTTGATCAAGTGACAAAAGACCAAACTCCGAACCAGACAATTTCGCAAAATCAACCAAATCTCTAAGCAAAAATAAGTTGTCATAAATTGATCGTTTGGGAATGCAATAAGATTGGTCTTCATGAACCAGTGTGTGTAAAACCTCTTTAAGTCTGTTTGCAATGCATCGCGACAGAATTTTATAGTCCGAACATAGAAGCGACACCGGCCTCCAGTTCTTCAGTAAGCAGAGGTCTCCCTTCTTCGGCAAGAGAGAGAGGACCGCACGCTGGCAGCTCTTTGGAAGCATCTTGGCCTCAAAGCAGGCCTGAAAAACACTAAACAAGTCCTCTCCGATGACTCCCCAAAAGGCCTTATAAAAGTCCACAGGCAAACCGTCAATACCAGGTGCTCGTCCGGAAGTCAGCTGATAAACGGCTTGGGTGACTTCCTCAAAAGTCAGAGCAGAGTCCAAGACCTGCTTTTGCTGTTGATCCAGTTGAGGAAGATCGTTGTGCAAAACCTTGGTACAGTTCTGGTCCGGTGATCCAGTTGCATACAACTCAGAATAAAACTGTACTGCCATCTTTCGCACTTCAGCTGGGTCTGCAGTGACTGTACCATCATCTTTGCGTAAGGAGACCAGAGACTTATGGCCTGAAGTGGATCGTTCTAAATTGAAGAAAAAGGCAGTGGGAGCATCCATGTCTTGTATAGATAAAAACCTGGTTCTAACCAAAGCCCCTTTTGCTTTCTCATTCAAAATGGCACTAAGGTTCTGGAGTTTTGTGGTCAAAACTGCGTGCAAGCCAGAGACATTCTGGTTTATCATGAGGTCATGTATCCTCGTTATGTCTTGTTCTAAAACTTGGACAGCTGTTCTGATCTTGGCCGTAGAAAAAGCAGTGAAATTCTGACAGAAGATCCTAATTTGAGTCTTCCCAAGTTCCCACCACTGCATAAGAGTCTCAAACCTCCCTTTTTCTGCAGCCCATTCTTGCCAAAATACCTTAAAACACTCGCAAAAAAGTTTATCCAATAGAAGTTTCTTGTTAAAATACCACATACAACTCTTAGAGACATGAGAAATAAAAGAAAACTCCACCGTGCATAAATGGTGATCAGAAAAAGAAGTGGGCTGAATAGTAGACTTGCTTACACTGTTTCTCGCACTCTGAGAAACATAAAATCTATCTAAGCGTGCAGCAAAAACTCCCCCGTCAAAAACTTTCACCCATGTGTAACATTTGACTAAAGGGTATTTTTCCCTCCATACATCTGTCATTTTAAAAGAAGATATCACATTAGCTAGAGCAAGAGCAGACTGGGGGTGAGGCTCTTCTCCGTTCCTATCTTTGATAAAATCTAGTGTACAATTCCAATCACCCCCCATCACAACAGTATCCTCAGGGGAGAGGGACTGTAAAGTTTGATGCAGTCTACGAAACAGCTCAGTCCTCTCTGATCCTCTATTAGGAGCATACACATTAATAAAAACAAAAACTCGATCATTTACTCTCGCTCTAACCATAAGTAAACGCCCTGCTATTACTTCATTTCCTGACAGGACAGTCACTGAGGAAGACTGAGAGAAAATGATCCCAATTCCTGCACTATTACTTGAACCATGACTAAATAGAGACTCCCCTTTAAACCATAAGCCCCAATCAGATGCTAGATCCTCATCACTATGAGTCTCTTGCAAAAAGCACACATTCAGCCTCTTGAGGCTGAAAAGTTCAGAAAAGAGGGCCTGTTTACCCCTATCTCTAAACCCATTAACATTTAGGGAACCCACCCTCAAAAACCCCATGCACTCAAAAGAGGAAGAGAGAAAAACGTAAAGCAACAGACAGGAAAAGCAGACAGAAAAGGCCCTCTGACCTCGTGTGTGGTACTCATACATTTGTACGATCAGAGCAAGGTTTGACACAAGACTTCACAGATTTTGCTTTCCGAATAGCAGTTATGTGCTTTTTTAGGCGAAAACGCTTTTGCTGGGAAAGAACATCATAACTCACGTTTTTTTGTGCTCTCAGCACTGAGCATATAAACTTATCCGGATCAGGAAAGAAATCAGTAACATTAGCCGGCCTGCCTTTAGTCTCGTCTAAAAAAGAGTTGATCTGCTCCACAGTGTACAACCTCTCACCACTAAACTGGCTACTCCCAATATCTGAAACTTCAGACAGCCTGTCCTCCTCCTCTTCCATCCCCTCCCCTACAGACATCACTGACCCTGACTGAGACTCACCTACTGCTACAGACTCCAGCTCAGTAACACTGCTCCCCTCAGCACACGGCCCAGCCTCTACACTCAACTCCTCACCAGCCTCACCATCCTCACCTTCCCTCTGACCAGCCTGCTGTTCAACACCCTCACTCACTAAAACAGTTTCCACCAGCCGCTCACTCACCTCCTCTCCTCGATTCACCTCCGGAGTAGCGACTTCTGACGTGCCTTCACCCGAGGCCGCGTCGTTTGCCCCCGCAGCCCCGCTGGGCCCTGCTTCATCAAAAGCCCGGTTCTCAGGCGCCTCGCTGCGCTCTTTAAGCGGGCACACGAGCCGCTTATGTCCGATAAGTCCACACCCAAAACATTTCAAACTGTCAGTGCTGGCATAAACCATATACGAGCTTTCTCCGTGAACCACGCGGAAAGAGGCTTCTAATGTTCGATCCGGATTGTTTAAAAACATGTACACCTGTCGACGAAAAGACAGGACGTGTTTGAGAGCCGCATTCTTACAGCCGAGCGGGACCAGCGTGATCTCACTCGCAAATTTGCCAAATCGGCCGAGTTCTTTGGCAATGGACTCGCTGGAGAGGAAAGGCGGGACATTGGAGATGGTGACCCTGGTCGCCGGTGTTGATAGAGGGGACACCGGCACAAAAGTCTCCAACACCCAAATCCCGCTCTCCACGAGCTCTTTCACTAAACGTTCCTCTCTCAGAAACACCACTACGGCCTTATTCATCCTCGAGGCGGAGTAGATCTGATCAAAGCCAACTTTTTCTCCCACCACCAGAAGCACGTCTTCAACTCCCGCTTCTGCCGGTGGGACACATCTAAAGCCATTTGCGCGGGAGAGAGACGGCGTTTCAGCCGCGAGGCGAGGAGCCATGACTCCCCCCTCACTCGCCGCTCTCAGCGGCTAATGATTAACAGTGCTGAACAGTCAGAAATTAGGAAAATAACCCCGAAAATACAGGGTAGAAACAGGGAAAAAGCACACGCTGACCTCAGCACAGCACCTCTCACAGACGCACCCTCACCCACCACCTCCCAGCATGCACCAGAGAGAGAGAGAGAGAGTTTAAGAGAGAGTTTAAGAGAGAGAGAGAGAGAGAGAGAAAGCACAAGAAAGGAAAGCAGGAAAATAGAGAGAATGTATGAAAAGAGAGACGGTGGAAAAGAGACAAGGGGAAAAGAGACAAGGGGAAAAGAGACAAGGGGAACAAAGCCAAAAAGAGAGAGACAGAGAGCAGAAACATAGACAAAACTAAGCTGTAAGAAAGAAAGAAGCAAACAGAGACAGAGACAGCGTGCAAGAGAGTGCATATGAAAAAGAAAGAAAGAAAGAAAGAAAAAGACCCATAAGATCTGTAGGGGTAAAGAGAGACAGATAAGGAAAGAAGGAAAGAATGATGAAAGGTCCATAGAGAGAATGTATGTGTGTGTGTGTGTGTGTGTGTGTGTGTGTGTGTGTGTGTGTGTGTGTGGGGTGATTCAGCTGTACAGGACCTGCTCGTATTGCGGTGCTGAAATAGATAAACAACCCAAACCATCATCA